CTGGGCAAGGTTCGGCGGCAGTTGTTCCGTTGCCTTTTTTCTTAAGTCTACAGTCTCGATATATGTGATCATCTTTATTTCAAAAGAAGCAAACACGCCGTTCGGTATCTCCTGCCGGTGCTCTGGGGTCGAATTCGCCGTCTGCTGCTGGTTGCCACTTCTAATCCTTCTCCCGAGGGCCTAGCATGCACAGCCCCAATATCCATAGGTTCTGTATCGGAGCCACCCCCATAGCCGCCGCCTTCTTCCTTCTCAGCTAGAGTAGCAGAGTTCGCATCCTTTCTCTCTCCTATACGAAGGTACTTAGGCTTCTCAGTGAGCTTAACCCCTTCTCCCCTTAGTTCCCTTTCAGTGGCCCAGCCGGCTACCAGCTTTCTCTCTAGGGGGGGAGAGCCCCACGATGAACCATTGATATTCAAGTTCGTTGCCGTTAGAAAAATTTATGTTCAGTAAGGAGTTGTATTGCTCGATGCAGCGCTCTATCGATATTTATATTTGCCTCTGCTTACGCCTCCGTAAGCGCGTCGTAGCCTGTACCCTTGCTGATCTGGGAATAAAGCTGCATCGCAGCGAATCTTAGAAGGCTTGCATGGGCCTGATAAGCAAAGCCAAAGCCTTTGCTTATCTATAACCACCATCATCAGCCATCTACTTCTAACAAAGAAGAAACCAGCAGCAGTTGTATTCTGTCTCCGCTGCATCGCTGAGGTGTCGCTCGAGGGAGCCGATGAAATCCTCCACCGCCACCACCGCGTCCCGGCGCCCGTCGTCTATCGATGCCCTGCACAGTCCGAGGTTTTCCCCCCCTGAATTATGTTTGGTCGAAATGCACGTTCCCCCTCACTGGGTGCCGTTGCCTCTAGTTGGCGAGGTTTCAGCTCGTATGTTACGCCCCCGTTGGCTAAGGGGGAGCAGCCAAAATTTTAAGAGGATTTTTCTTAAGAAAGAGGAATATATAAATTTTTTTTCCAGATATGAACGATGTCACATACAAGCTGGGTTTCGTTGCTCACACCTGCCCGGTCGAATCACGCAGATCTATAAAGTGTAAAACGAGCTGAAGTGAAGGTAAAGACTTGAAATAAGACTTTCCCCAAAGCAGCTGACCCCCCCCCCCAACCATCCCCTGGCATCCTCGGCGTTCAGATGCTGCGGTTGAGGGGGAGGCTGCAGGCTAACTGGAGTTACAGTGCACCTTCAATTAGTCTGCAGCCTCCCCTGCACATGGCGATGCAAGCTTTTCTCATGTGTGCGCACGAAGAAGCTTAAACAAAGCCTCCTTTAGTGCATGCGTTATATCTGTATACACTTATGGAATGTTATGGATAGGTATTTGTTTGGAGGTGAGACACGGAGGCAAAATGAATGCTCCTGTACTAAGTACAGGCAGAGCACGCTACAGTATATATATATGAATTGCAAAGAAGTGTCATTCTCTCTCTGTTTCTTCGTCTCTCTCTCTTTTTCTCTTTTATCTGTTCCTTTCCCTCGCCGCAGCCGAACTCAGCTTATATAATTTGGCTGTTTTGTTGCGGCGTAGCATATATGCAATAAATGAAGGAAAAAGAGTAATCGGTAAATACACGTCGACCGGCCATATAGTTTGATTTATATGACCCCTTTATCTATAGCTATTTGTATTTTAGAGTAAATGAAGTTTTCTTAGGACGTTGGTTTTTCTTTTGTGTAACGGAACTGCATCTCTCTTTCTTTTTACTGTTAAGGCACAAGAGAAGAAAGAGCACCACTGCAACTCATGGATACATGGCGGCGTCGATTCATGTCTACAAACAGAGCTGTATAAACTGCATTTATGACGAACTATACAAGGCCTTTCATGGTTAATCATTTATAAATACTCTTGTACCAATAGTGTTTTAAATAATTTCCTATAAACTGTCGTTTATAAACAAGCGTAACGCGGGATGCATACTGCATCTACATTGGGGTGTATTGGCTGCTCCCCTTAATGTGTCTGCCGAGCCACGCTCAAGGGTTCAATAAATTAATTTTCTCGTTCTGTATTCTTGTAAAAGTGCTTTGAATTTCGTCGAAGTTCAGACCAAAAGGTATATCACCGTCTACACGCACGGAAGACTTACATGAATTTCTTACGAGACGTTAACCCCCCCCCCTCACCAGCCCTTGAATGAATGAAAAAAAAAAGAAAAGGACGCATGAAGATATAAAGATATGTTGTGGGAAGGTGTGCTGAGAATTAGAGTAAATTTTTTACTAAAAAACTGTAACCCGATCTGCAGTTGCCTGTACACCCTGGGGTGTATGCGCAGCTCTCTTTCAGCTAGCTACGAGCCGTGGGAAGTGACCCATGAGTTCATGAATCAAATATATTGGAAATAAATAATTAATTATAAATTTATCATTTATACAATTGGGTTTTCCCAGGAGACGCGAAATAAAAGGCTCAAACCAATGGTGCAGCCGGCGGAACCAGACAGAGAGCTGCCGCCTACAGGTATCGTACCGTTGATGAATGTGCGGGAAACCCGAAGAATATAACAATATTATAGAATAAATTATTATTATTCGGGTTTATTTTTCAAGTTTTAATCGAATTATCCAAAAGAAATTCACTTGCAGGATTTCTTTTTCTCTCTGCTTTCCGCTTTCCCTACCGGCCACACCCATCGTACGCAGCAGCACCGAGCCAGCTGTCGCAGCGCCTAGAGGGAAGCTTGTTTTTGAAATACCAATTGAAGAATATATTTGTTATTTTATAAACCTGAGAAGGTTTAGCAAGCAGAAGAAACATCCATTTCAACAACAGATCCTGCAGCAGCAGCAGCACAAGCAGCAATAACTGCTGCTGATGCTGCTGCTGCTGCTGCTGCTGCTGCTGCGATACCCAAGGCCGAGCGGGGAGGCTCAGTGTTCAGCTGCCGACGAAAGGGAGAGCTTGAACAAGACAAAGAAAGAATAAACTCATATTACTGGTTTCTTCTTCTTTTTCAACAAATACAAACAATATCTCATGCATTGCCTCTGTTCAGGTGTATGTACACCGCAGCAGCTCAACGATCGGCTCAAGGAACCCAACACATATCCTGCG